TAACCCCGGCATCCTGGCCAAATTCGCCCATTGGCCTCTGACCATCATGACCTCCTAATCACCCCAATACACTGATTGGCTTCATCACTCTGTCTTTTGAAGGAACGGAGACACATATCTGGAAGTCATAAGAAAACATTGGTGGAAAAGTGTGTAAAGCAGATATATGAAAGAAGAACAAAGCAGCAAATGCACCATATAATTTATAAATAAATGTAAAGGCATCAATAGAATCGAATGAACATGGGACTTTGATTACTGGCTGCATTTTCTTTTAAGGGGTCCTATTATGCTTTTTCACTTTTTCAACTTTAGTTAGTCTGTAATGTTGCTGTTTGAGCATAAAAAAGATCTGCAAAGTTACAAAGCTCAAAGTTCACTTCAAAAGGAGATATTTTAACAGAAATCACTTTTCAAAAACTACAATGAACGACTCGTTTGGACTACAACGCATATTTTCCGGGATTTGTGATATCACAAATCACACGAGGCCTGGTTGAGCTGCACTAGAGAAGGCAACGAGTGTTATCACTATGTCGGAGCATGACATTTCCCGACCAAGGGCCGAGTGCTGCCAATCACAACACTCACTGGCCCAGCTAACCGATCACAACACACACTGACCCAGCTAACCGATCACAACACACACTGGCCCAGCTAACCGATCACAACACACACTGACCCAGCTAACCGATCACAACACACACTGGCCCAGCTAACCAATCACAGCATATTTTGTATTTCAGAAGGCGGACCTTCATTTGATACAGGAACTATTCGAGCCGTTCATGTCAGGCTGGGGAGAAAGGTTTTGTAATAATGTAAAATATGTGAAAAATAATGTGTTTTTCGAACAACCTAGTATGAGAGAGCCTGTTCTAGTACAGCCCCAAAACAAAATCAAGACTTTGTAAAAGAGCATAATAGGACCCCTTTAAAAATGTATGATGAGGGTTAGATTACAACATCAGACAGGCAAAAAATTATTAGCTTATAGTTTTCTACAAACAGATTAAGCGATTAAGTTCAGAAAATAACAAACATATCTTACCTTATCCTGAGCTCCCTGTTTACTACATTTCTTATCAGCATTATCCATGTTTTCCTTCGTCTGGGCTGTCTGATAATAATACATTTATGAAATTAAATAAACCTGAATCTGGTTAGAACAAATTGCTGGCACATTTGAGCACTACCTTTGCAAAGAGATTAGTTTTATCAGCCGTAGGTAATACTTACCCTTTTCTTTTAAACGGCAACAGATCATCAGCACAACTACAATGAATGCTAACAGCAGAAATATGGATGTTATCACCAGTATCCCAAGTGCATGTCGGAGGAGTTCTGAACATGTCAGACAGAGTTCAGTGATGCTGAGGTGTTTAGTCTGGTTGGTGAATGAATAAGCCACAACACAGCTGTAAGAATCATCCAGACACTCAATCTCCAGAGGTAGAAAGAGACTGATGCTGAGATCAGACACACTGATGCTGGACAATAAACTGTTTCCTTTGTACCAGGAGAGAGTCACATGACCCACATTCAACACTGAACACAGCAGGAGACATTTAGGAACTGATGAACATCCTGGTGAGGATGAAGAACAATGTGAATAGTCTCTGATGATGACGGGAATGGGAAGAGGAGCTGCAAAACATGACAAAAAAGTAAAAGTTATTTTAGTAGTAAACAATAAAGTCAATAACAAAAATAATTTTTCAGTTGTTTTCTTGTGAGGCTAATCAGAGATGAAGCTAAATGTAAATGCAAGGCTAATAAAGAAAGGAAATGCCTGCATCTAAATTAATTATTGTGCATATTTTATTATTATTTAATTTATTATTTCAGTATTTGTATGTCATTTTAGCTGTTGTATTGTGCATTTGAATTATAAATTGGATTTTGCATTGAAAACATTTCTACTGAGTTCAGACTAGAATTGTGCATGTGCATTTGTGACATGACTTACCATACAAAGTAACATTGAATCTCTTTACTAAGATTTTTGAATTACTGATCTGCAGCTGATAAAGTCCACTGTGTTCAGATCTGATGTTTCTGATGGTTAGAGATCCAGTTTGATTGTCCATATGTAGTTTGTCTCTGAATCTCCCATCATTATTGACAAATACAAAGTACAACTGGTCCCTTTTAATAATTTCTGCTATTTGCATACTTTGAGGTACAAATGTCCACAGAATCTGATCTTCTATCTGTACTTTAACATTGGTGTTTAAAGTGATAGAATCTCCCTCCATCACTGAAACCGTCTTTACTCCATGTGTCTCATCACCAAACACACCTGAAAGAGATTTAAATAAATCAGTAAACAAAGCACCTGTAGCAAATTTAACTTAGCTGAAGAAGCTGAACAAATAAGAATTTTGTAATAAACAGATGGCTGCAGTCCCTTATTGCTTAGTATAATTTGAAGACGATGTTAACAGTCAATGTTCCTCTCTGTTAAAAAACTCATCTGATTATAACAGCATTCAAAACTAGAAAAAAATATATACTGTAGGCCTACCATCACATAATATGAAACAGCAAATCTATCTATATATATATATAGTAAAATTACTATTGTCAAAGCTATTTGGGGAAAAAAGGAAAACATTTTCAGTAAAAAAAATAAATAAAAAATAATTTTCGTTAAGACAAAGGACCCTTTTTACAGACTGTGATGTCGCACTAATAATTATTAGTAGTAGTATTTAGTATTGTTATTGTGTAATGTACATTTATAACCATATGCTACTTGTTAAACAAAAACGTTAAAACTGATGCTATGTATTTTCTACGACTGAGGAAGCGCCTGTTTATTTCATATCCGCTTCTCTATATTTTTTTTATTTTTTGGAAAGTTGTGGAATCGAAATGGGGGACTTTTTCTTTTGCTACTGTAGCAAATAAGCGAAAATAATATTTTCTATGGCCATACATCTAGGCTATATAAGTTTATGTACTGTTTATGTAGCCTAAAAACAAAAACTACTTACAGTTCCAAGGACAAATCGCATTCAAAAAGGGGTATGGGGTAAATGTGGTGTCTATGATGTTTGATTTGTAAATACGTGTATATTTTATTATCGTCTATTTGCTGCTTTTGTACTGATACTATGTAAAGCACTTTGGTCCAACCTCGGTTGTTTTTAGTAGTGCTATATAAATAAACAAAACAAAACCAAACTTACTTTCGATTTCAAAATGAGGTGTGGCATTGCGGAAGAAGGATTGTTTAAATTTGTTTCTAACTTAAAAAACAGATTCATAATGCAGAATTATTCGGAATTCATAAATGTAATTTAAATGATCATGTGCATGGTGTCTTTACATTTCAACCGCATTTCATGAAATTAAATCCGACTTACCACACAAGCACACGGAGATGAAAACTGTGTATGAAATCATATTCCTCGAAGTTCGGTAAAGTTAGCAAGATATTCACAGATTCGACATTTCTGGATCAATAAATAACGAGCAAAACGTTTTTACTACACAATTGACGCCTCTTTTCTTTCGTAGTGATGTAGAAAACAAGCTACAAGCAAGGTTTCCTCAAAACAAGCTTTCCTCTGCTCTGTACAAACTACATTGAGAGACGAAGTCCGAAGGGACCGTCTGCAAAGTGCGAAAAACGAAAAATGCTACTAATAAAATACTCACTAACTTCAGAGTAACACGCTGTAGTGTCACCAAATTCAGTTCACACATCACTGCTCTTTTGCTGGTTATACTGCAACAGTTATTTTTTGAAAATAATTGCTTTTACATATATTTTTAAAAATATTTAATAAATTCACTGTTACTGGACAAAATAGCCAATAACTTCACTGTAACACACTGTGCTTTCCCCAAATTCAGTCCACACATCACTGCTCTCCTGCTGGTTATACTACAACACTTATTTGGACAATAATTGCTTTTGAAGGATTTTTAAGATTTTTTAAAAATATTTAATAAATTCACTGTTATTGGAAAATAGCCAATAACTTCACTGTAACACACTGTACTTTCTCCAAATTCAGTTCACACATCACTGCTCTCCTGTTGGTTTTACTACAACACTTTTTTTTTTTAATAATTGCTTTTACACATTTTTTATGATTTTTTATTATGACAAATAATCAATAACTTCACTGTAACACCTGTACTTTCTCCAAATTCAGTTCACTCATTGCTGCTCTCCTGCTGGTTATACTACAACACTTACTTTGAAAATAACTGCTTTTATATATTTTTTTATAATCATTTAAAATGAAAAATAGTCATTACCTTCATTGTTATTGGAGTCAATAACTTCACTGTAACACACTGTACTATCCCCAAATTCAGTTCACACATCACTGCTCTCCTGCTGGTTATACTACAACACTTATTTGGACAATAATTGCTTTTACACATTTTTAAAGATTTTTTATTATGACAAATAATCAGTAACTTCACTGTAACACACTGTACTATCCCCAAATTCAGTTCACACATCACTGCTCTCCTGTTGGTTTTACTACAACACTTTTTTTTTTTTAATAATTGCTTTTACACATTTTTTATGATTTTTTTATTATGACAAATAATCAATAACTTCACTGTAACACACTGTACTATCCCCAAATTCAGTTCACTTATCACTGCTCTCTTGCTGGTTATACGACAACACTTATATTGACAATAATTTATTTTACATATTTTTTATGATTATTTAAAATGAAAAACAGACATTACCTTCATTGTTATTGGACAAAATAGTCAATAACTTCACTGTAACACACTGTAATTTCTCCAAATTCAGTTCACACCTCAATGCTCTCCTGCTGGTTTTACTACACTTATTTTGAAAATAATTGCCTTTACAGATTTTTTATGATTTTTTATTAAGAGAAATAGTTAATAACTTCACTGCAACACACTTGTGAAGTTATTGACTATTTTGTCCAATAACAGTGAATTTATATAAAAAAAAATTAAATCATAAAAATCATTCAAAAGCAAGTATTGTCAAAATAAGTGTTGTAGTATAACCAGCAGGAGAGCAGTGATGTGTGAACTGAATTTGGTGACACTACAGCGCGTTATTGAAGTTATTGAATATTTTATTAGCAGCATTTTTCGTGTTCGCACAGACGGTCCCTTCGGACTTGTGTCTCTCAGACGCCAGCGCATTGAGATCAATGTAGTTTGTACAGAGCAGAGGAAAGCTTGTTTTGAGGAAACCTTGCTTGTAGCTTGTTTTCTACATCACTACGAAAGAAAAAAGGCGTCAATTGTGTAGTAAAAACGTTTTGCTCGTTATTTATTGATCCGGAAATGTCGAATCTGTGAAAATCTTGCTAACTTTAAGATGTTCGAACCAGGGTTTGAAATTAACACCCGCCAGCCAAATGCGGGTAAAAATCAGCTGTGGCGGGTAACGCTGTCAAATTACTTTTCGTAAATTATGTTTACTAATTAATTTCTTGAGGAAGTTCATGTAAGCCAAATCTGCGCAGATGTACTGTAAATACTGACCTCGAGACTCATCATTATATATTAAATAAGCCTAATTGCGCAGCATCTGGGCATATCTAACATGCCCAGCGATGTAGCTACAAGCCATCGGGAGCACCGGGTAGGCCGATCGTCGAAGCGAGGGAGACCTCATATTAGGCGCTGTTTTTAAATTACAGCCCACGCGAAACTGCAAAAAGCAAGTACTCCAAAAGTGTGAAGCGGCGCTACCAGGTGCATCCGCCAGCCGCGCGTTAAGCAGAGCGGGATCAGTCTCCCGCACAGCGCTGCACTTCCGCTATGATTTATAAGAGATAAACAGCACAAATCGCTCGATCCATTCAGAAATGACACAGAATTGTGTTATACAGTTGTGTGATATGACAACATGCCACGACAAGGTAAAATGCATGTAAACATACTGCAATGTAAACAAACTTTAATAGCTTATTTCTCTTTAAATGTTTCATTCTAATTCATTTTAATTTAAGTAAAATGTTAATTCAGTTAGAGCCTGATTAAAGATAAAAATCAGAGTCTCTGTAATTTAGAGACACTTATAAATGAGGTGTTTTCCATTTACAAATAGTATAAAGTTCTTAAAGGGATAGTTCACCCACAAATGAAAACTGTCATCATTTAGGCTACTCAGCATCGTGTCATTCCAAACCTGTATGAATTTCTTTCTTCTGTGGAACATAAAATAAGATATTTTGAGAAATTCAAGAAATGTCTGTTCATACAGTAGAAATCAAGAGTAACCAAAATGGTTTGGTAACATTCTACAAAATATCTTTTGTGTTTTACAGAAGAAAGTAAGTCATACAGGTTTGGAAAGACATGAGGGTGAGGAAATGATGATAGCATTGATTAGCAGTAAATTTCCTATGTTCTAGCACAAAATCAATGCTTATACTGTCAAGTGCATTTCTATGTGACAAAAATGCAGTAGGCTATTAGTTTGTTGCATTTGCAGTGAATTTAGTAATATATCATTATTTGTTTTTGTCCTCATTTATTTATTTATTTACTTGCTCCAATTGAAGGCCCTATAACACAGCAAAACATGCACAGGGGACCTTGAGGGCCAGATAGCCTGAATTTGTCCAGGGCCGAATTTTAACCCCAGTCCAGCCCTGTACCCGTCACTATGCAACAAATAATGTGGCGCAGCACAGCACAGCACGACAAATCCCGACAGTAAACTGATGCCTCATTCTATTTATGACGTAGGCCTACTGTTTGACAAAGTACAAATGATTTGCAATGGTCACTTTGTCGCATCCAGTGCACTGGAGAGAAGCCGTACCACTGCCATTCATGTGGGAAGAGTTCCACTCATTTTAATTGTCTAATCGGTCATAAAAAAAAATGCATGTCTGAAATTACAACAAGTAGTTCGAGTTCTGATCCTGTACTTTGAGGTGCGATGCTGCATAGGGCTGCAGCAAACAATTTTACATCCCTGACTTATAAAATATAGTTAATGAAATATATAGTTAGTAGTTCTCATTATAAAAACATTAAATTTGTGCCTGCAATGTTTAAATATAATGATGATTAAATAATAAAATGATAATTGGATGATAAATGTACCCAATTCAAATAAATGGATCAGAATCTTCATATTTCTACTATTATGTCAGGATTCACGTCTTTTTCCTTTCACATTTCTCTCGGACTTTTTTAATTTATAAATTATTTCCGTGGTTTACTGAAAATCAAACTTTTGAAACTTTTTTTGAACTTTTATTTTAGACCTGATAGAAGAGAACAAGGAGACTGAAGAACTGATTGAAGAGGGGGAGATACATCAGCTCAAAACTGAAGAAACATCCTGGAGTCCCTCATTGAAAAACGACAATATACGTTTCACTTGCCCTCAGTGTGGAAAGTGTTTCTCATTCAAGCAAAATCTTGACCTTCACATAAAATCTCATCATGAAGGGAAGCCATATGCGTGTGATCAGTGCGAGATGATTTTCACAATTAAAGGAAACCTTATTGAACACATGAAAATTCACACTGCAGAGAAGCCACACATATGTGATCAGTGTGGGAAGAGTTTCCCACAAATACGAAACCTTGATGAACATAAGAAAATCCACACTCTGGAAAGGCCATACTCATGTGATCAATGTGGGACGAGTTTCCCATTTAAGGGAAACCTTGACGCTCATAAGAGGATCCACACTGGAGAGAAGCCGCACAAATGTGATCAATGTGGGAAGAGTTTTGCGCAAAAAGGAAACCTTAACAAACACATGAACATCCACACTGGAGTGAAGCTGTACATGTATGATCAGTGTTTGAAGAGTTTCACACAACAACTACCTTTTAACGATCACATGAAAATCCACACTGCAGAGAAGCCACACAAATGTGATCAATGTGGGAAGAGTTTTTCACAAAAAGGAAACCTTAATGAACACTTGAAAATCCACACTGAGGAGAGGCCTTTCGCGTGTGATCAATGTGTGAAGAGATTCATACATAAAGGAAACCTTAATGAACACATGAAAATCCACACTGGTGAAAAGCCATATGCATGTGATCAATGTGGGAAGAGTTTTGCACGAAAAGGAGCCTTTAACGATCACATGAAAATCCACACTGGAGAGAATCTGCACACATGTGCTCAGTGTGGGAAGAGTTACGCACGAAAAGGAGCCCTTAATGATCACATGAAAATCCACACCGGAAAGAATCTGCACACATGTGATCAGTGTGGGAAGAGTTTCAGAAAATCAGGTGTTTTTAAAGTACATCTGCTTACTCATTCTAGAGAAAGGCTATATAATTGTGACCAATGTGGTAAAACATTTTTTAGGGCAGATTTTCTGAAGGACCACCTGAAAGTTCATACAAAGGAGAAGCCTTACGTGTGTTCTTTGTGTGGAAAGAGTTTTAGACAGATGGGTGCATTAAAAACACATCAGAAAAGACACAGTGGTGTGAAGGATCATGCTTGCTCTGAGTGTGGGAAGACTTTTTTTACAGATGGTGCACTGAAAGTGCATCAGTCAGTTCACACTACAGAAACACCTTACAAGTGTTCACACTGTGACAAGAGATTCAAACGGTCAGAATATCTTAGAATACATGAGAGGGTCCACACCGGACAGAAGCCTTATCACTGCCATTCATGTGGGAAGACTTTCACTCATTTTTCTTCTCTAATCTGTCATAAAAAAAAATGCAGGTCTGAAATTACAAGTAGTTCGAGTTCTGATCTGTAAGACTGCATCAAACCATTATTGATAATTGATTAATCAAATGTTGTTAGACCAATTAATCAACTGATTGTTGATTATTTCACAGATTAATAATTATTTATTAATTTTATTATTATTAATTTGTCATTCTTCATGCTTTTATATTTTAATTACGTATTCTTTTACTTATTTCCTTGCTCTTGCAATGCTTGCTATTGTTGTTTAATCTTATGGCTGTATGCTTTGTAAGAGATTAGAGAATGTAAGAATTCAAGGTTTTTAATGTCGCAGGAAAATGTTGTGAAGCAGTGCTTTTCCATTGTTTTTGCTTTGGTATAATAACACTTGTTGGATTTGTACTGGCCAGACTAAGTCTGAGCTTTTAGACATAGGCATTCAGATGAAGTATGAGCATTGAAACATACGCAACTAAGATTATTCAATAAACCGTGGTCTTTGTATTATCATCACTTCGTCTTCTGCTTCTGCTCTTACCTGTCTTTCTCAGGCAAACTTTTGAGGCTGATAGAAGACTGTTAACAGAGTTTTAGGTACCAGGCAAGACTATCTGTTGACAAGTTTTACTAGTTTTGGACACCAGACAAAACAATATCAGATATCTTCTGACAGGGATTCGGGATCTAATCTAGTATATGTGATGCAGTGTTTCCCCTGCCCTTATATTAGGGGGGTGGCCCGCACCCACAAAGGCACCCCCGCCCCCCTTGAAGGTCAAGTTAATTTTATTTTCTCTATAGCGCCAGATCACACAAGAAGTAATTTAAAGTCACCTTTCCTATAGAACAGGTCTATACCTTGTTCTTTTATTAAACAAACTAAATAGCCTTTTAGAAATGGAGAATATCCGCTGGACCGTTCTGTGTCAGCTGCGTCACGCCGGATCGGTTTCCTACGTTGTTGTGGTTTGATCTGAACAGAAACCGTAACCGTGTGACGCAGCTGACACAGAACAGCATACGTTGTTTACATCCAGCGGATACTCTCCAAAATGGCACCAGGGTGATGCGGAGGAGACGAATTGTTGAATAAAGTCGTTTTTTGTTTAGTTTTTTTGCTCACAAAAAGTATTCTTGTAGCTTCGTATCATTGCGGATGAACCCCTGATGTCACATAGATTATTTTACTGATGTTTCTGGATTTATATTTTATATATTAATCTTATATATTAATATTTCAGTTGCTTTGCTGTCTATGCAGGGTCAGACAGCTCTCAGATTCCATCAAAAATATCTTAATTTGTGTTCCGAAGATGAACGAATGTCTTACGGGTTTGAAACGACATGAGGGTGAGTAATTAATGACAGAATTTTCATTTTTGGGTGAACTAACCCTTTAATGTATTCAAACCAAACTACTTTTTTGCACTCATTAATAAAAATACTTTACACTAGCTAGCTGCAAATGGAGCACACTCACTCACTGTTTTCCGCAAATTCTGGACAATTCTGTCTTCCAGTGTTAATTTCGTTGACAAATAATTTTCGTCAACAACATTTTTTTCACGACGAAAACGAGACGATGACGAACTAAAACTTGTTTTGAATGACAGAAACTGTGACGAAAATCTATTGACATTTTCGTCAATGAATAAAAATGAGAGGAAAATGTTAGGGAGGGATGTAGTTAGATGCATATGAACCAGCGGGACAGACATAAGCTAACATACACTTGCTGCACGTCTCATAAAACGTACAAAAATGTCGATATCTGGGAGTAAGAGAAGACATATGGATAAATCTGAGACTCAAAAGAGAACTCAATTCGGTCCGGTTTTCTGAGCGCACACACCGAAGCAGTGCCTCACACACACACGAGAACTCTTTCGTGTCTCATGAAAGGAGAAATGCACACAAAATGATGTGAATTGTCTGTTTCGACGAGTATTCACGTAAACACACTCGGTTATGTCTTATGTGAACATAAACAGTTGGGAGAATATTAGGACATGTATCAGTACTTTGTATCCGTGCATCCGGTTTTAAAGGGACAGCGGTCTAATTTAGTTGCTATTGTCTGTGGCATTGATATTAATCAAGCAACAACAGAAAGACAGAAAATCACTCACTGCTTTTGACTGAATCACTTTAGTAGCCCTAAAGACTAATCTAAATTTACTTATAGAAATAAATATGTCTGCTTGAAAGAATGAAGAATGTGGTAAACAAGTTGTTATAAAGAATGCATAATTAGCCTAATTGTATTTAATTGAAAAGACCACGTTCTTGTTCTTTATGAGAAGTGGTTTTATTTCATTTGAACATAAACATGTTGTGTGTCATCGCAGTTAAATCGGTGTCTATCATGATAAAACCTTAATATAAAACCTAGTGAATTTGGTAACACATTAGATTTTAGCCGAATAAATTTACTGTAGATTAAATCTTATGATATTTAGTCGATTAAAACAAAAAAAAATTCAGATGACTAAGATGTGACTAAAACTAAATGCCATTTCAGTCAAAATACTGACTAAAACTAAATCAAAATTTGCTCCCATTTGCCCTCCCTAACATTTTCGTCTCGTTTTTATTCGTTTACGAAAATGTCAATAGATTTTCGTAATATTTTCTGTCATTCAAAACGAGTTTTAGTTCGTCCTCGTCTCGTTTTAGTCGGTGAAAAAAATGTCGTTGACGAATATTAACACTGCAAGTTTCTCATTATTTATCTTTGCATTATAATGCATTATAATGATTTCTTAAATCGTAAAAGGATCGAATATTGCTCAAACTATGAAATGATTTCAATATGAGTAGTTCATTTTGCTTATTGAGATTCAAAGTCAGATCCAATCTTCCAATCACTACTGGGTAGCTATGTGACATAACAATAACACAACTTATTATAACATCATATTTTATATGAATAAAACCAGCAATACGCCATGGGCAATTTTGTGTTTTTTCATGTTTGTGTGTGATATATGTCGGACTATTGTTACTGCATGTCACATGATATAGTAAACAGTTGGGAGAATATTAGGACATGTATCAGTACTTTGTATCCGTGCATCCGGTTTTAAAGGGACAGCGGTCTAATTTAGTTGCTATTGTCTGTGGCATTGATATTAATCAAGCAACAACAGAAAGACAGAAAATCACTCACTGCTTTTGACTGAATCACTTTAGTAGCCCTAAAGACTAATCTAAATTTACTTATAGAAATAAATATGTCTGCTTGAAAGAATGAAGAATGTGGTAAACAAGTTGTTATAAAGAATGCATAATTAGCCTAATTGTATTTAATTGAAAAGACCACGTTCTTGTTCTTTATGAGAAGTGGTTTTATTTCATTTGAACATAAACATGTTGTGTGTCATCGCAGTTAAATCGGTGTCTATCATGATAAAACCTTAATATAAAACCTAGTGAATTTGGTAACACATTAGATTTTAGCCGAATAAATTTACTGTAGATTAAATCTTATGATATTTAGTCGATTAAAACAAAAAAAAATTCAGATGACTAAGATGTGACTAAAACTAAATGCCATTTCAGTCAAAATACTGACTAAAACTAAATCAAAATTTGCTCCCATTTGCCCTCCCTAACATTTTCGTCTCGTTTTTATTCGTTTACGAAAATGTCAATAGATTTTCGTAATATTTTCTGTCATTCAAAACGAGTTTTAGTTCGTCCTCGTCTCGTTTTAGTCGGTGAAAAAAATGTCGTTGACGAATATTAACACTGCAAGTTTCTCATTATTTATCTTTGCATTATAATGCATTATAATGATTTCTTAAATCGTAAAAGGATCGAATATTGCTCAAACTATGAAATGATTTCAATATGAGTAGTTCATTTTGCTTATTGAGATTCAAAGTCAGATCCAATCTTCCAATCACTACTGGGTAGCTATGTGACATAACAATAACACAACTTATTATAACATCATATTTTATATGAATAAAACCAGCAATACGCCATGGGCAATTTTGTGTTTTTTCATGTTTGTGTGTGATATATGTCGGACTATTGTTACTGCATGTCACATGATATAGTGCTTTTGCGATTATATTTTCTACATTTATTTCCATTATGACATTTACCTTTGCAAATCAAATTTGTTTTAGTTAAAATATGCAGGCTACTGGAAGGGTTAAAGCTAAAATACTTTATACTGACCCTGTGATGAAACACATGGGACTTTAATTCCATCACAAGAGATATAAATGTGAATCTGATAAATGTGAATGAAGTTTGAAACAAGAAACATTAAATTAACAGTTTTATGGCCAAAAACATTTCATGATCATTGCCAGAGCACATACAAAATAATAAGTTAATAATCTAATTCATGCAGCTATTAAATCGAATTATATTTAGATTGATACAGTGGGGAAAAAAAGTATTTAGTCAGCCACCAATTGTGCAAGTTCTCCCACTTAAAAAGATGAGAGAGGCCTGTAATTTTCATCATAGGTATACCTCAACTATGAGAGACAAAATGAGGGGAAAAAATCCAGAAAATCACATTGTAGGATTTTTAAAGAATTTATTTGCAAATTATGGTGGAAAATAAGTATTTGGTCAATAACAAAATGTCATCTCAATACTTTGTTATATACCCTTTGTTGGCAATGACAGAGGTCAAACGTTTTCTGTAAGTCTTCACAAGGTTTTCACACACTGTTGCTGGTATTTTGGCCCATTCCTCCATGCAGATCTCCTCTAGAGCAGTAATGTTTTGGGGCTGTCGCTGGGCAACACGGATTTTCAACTCCCTCCAAAGATTTTCTATGGGGTTGAGATCTGGAGACTGGCTAGGCCACTACAGGACCTTGAAATGCTTCTTACGAAGCCACTCCTTCATTGCCCGCAGCAGATCACCAATAAATGCTCGAATATTTCCATCAGCATACAAGTGAAGAAAATGGAGTTCATGAAAAAACATTAACAACATAAGTGATCCAGAAGCCTGCAGAATGGAGCAAGAAGATGCCGAAGAACAAAGAGGTTGGTATTTATACCTGATTCTTCATTGAGGACAACTTTGGGAACATAACATTTTAATCAGATTTAGTCGTTATAAAAGTAATGTGAGCTG